TGGTCAAAGAAAATCGCTTGATTCTGCCTTTCAGGCTGTGCTAAGGCCGTAGATTATCTAGAAGAGGAAGAGAATTTTGTCGAAAGAGGTAAAAGCTGAAAAGAGATGACTCGCTTAAAATATTATATATTTAACAATCGTGAACGGCTGTTGACAAACGGTGACTTCACTTCACATGATTTTTTCACTTTCTTCACTTCAATTCACTTTTGAATAACTTCTTATAACTTATAACTTACTACACGAGTAAATAATAATAGTAATGAAAGTAGTACCTAGAAGGACGTGTTATATCTAATTTTGTTTGCCCGTCTGTCTGTCTTGTGTTCTTTCATTCAACCTATAGCTCACAGTTTTTGATATTAAGTACACCTACGGGTTTTGGCCCAAGGACGAACACTATTGAAAATGATTCGAATTGGATCACTTTTTCGAGAACAACTTACTTGAATAACTGTATTAAGGTAGGTGATGTAGGTTATACAATGGCGTGTCCAATCACACTATGATGATTTTTTCGTTGAAAAAAGAATCGAGAAAGGTAAGTGTGTATTCTATTATAACACGATCTTCGCTTAGAGTGCTTAGCGAGAAAATGTCAAATAAGGTATTGTTGCAATCGTGTCTGGATTTTTCATTTGGGAGCCTTGTTCCTGGCAGCGGCATCCCTTTTGAAAAATTACAATCTTCAAGAGGCCTCCAAACAATTTCACACTGATTATTTTAGATTTTTGTATATTCTCTGTACTCTATATATATTAGAGGGTAGATAGTTATAAATCAGCGATAAATTTACCATCTAGTCTTGCTAATAAGTGTATAAAAAGTGGAATTAAAATGAATGCAAAAAAAATTTATGTATGAAAACTATTTTAGCATGAAAAAAACAAAATAAAAGAAGAGAAAAAAAAAAATTCAGATTAAAAAAATTGAACTTTTCATTTCAAAACCATCGTGTATTATCTATCTATTTATAATAGATATAAAAAAAATTATTTAATATAACTTAATGCATACATATAGGCGTTTAAGTTTTAAGAGCAATGTTAAAGGCTTAAATGATTGATTGATTGATGATGGATTCATGCCAGTATAGAAAATTTAAGTTAGACAAGTTATTTATAACGGTAGTATAAGAATAATATAATTAAAGTTTGTGTGTTTGTGTGTTTGTTTACCTGATAGATGAAAGCGTTTTTCAAAAGCGTTTTTTTTTTTTTTTTTTTTTTTTTTAAATTTTTGTTTTTAAATAGTCTAATTTTAATATTTTAACTTAAACTAAAACTTTTTTTAGATGGTTTTCGTTTTTTTTTTGTTTTTTGTTTTTTATTTTCATTTGTTATTTATTTATTTAATTTTTTTGATTTAAATATACTTTGATTTAAAGATTGTGTCTCCAAGATTATAAAGGTTTCGTTTTATCAAGTATTTTGTTTAAGAGAGAACTTCAAGTTTAGATAGTAATTAATTGAATATAAATTTCTATGGATGTGAGGACCGAAAATTGCAAACATTGATATAAATCAATTAAATACATTTTTATACCCACCGATATCCGATAACTATAAGGAAGTTGAACGAATACTATGAATGCAAGTTACAATGATGATCATTGATAATCTCCACGCAAAAAAGTTAAGAATTCCACCTAACATATAATATATACATAAATATATATAAACATATGTATATCCGCAAATGTGGATGTGCATGTGAATGCATATACACGTATATATATATATATATATATATATATATAGTTATATACAAGTACTGATGTATGTTGCGAAATGTCTTGGGACATATTTTACCCATCGAGCTGTTACTGGAATAGTGGTTAGATATATTCATCATGGGAATCGATATCAAAAGAATGTGGTAACAATGATGCGAAAATCGCTTCAAAGTACACTACCTGTTGCCTATATCCAAATGATGTTCAATGGTACAAACTTCAAAAGAGCAATTTTTGTGGCTCCGCAATGATTTATGCGAAAGGTCGCTTGAGTGGAAACAATAGTTAGCATTAGGACGAAATTTATCTAAGCATGTCCGTCTGTTCGTTTGACCGTCTGTCTGCCTGAGCAACTGTGTAATATTTGAGATATCGCTTAAAAATTTGCAAAAGAATTTGGACTTGAACTTTTCGAAGGACACGCCTACAACGATCTCATGCCTATGCGACAAAAACTTTTATTTCGAAAATACAAAAAAATCAGCTGCGCCCACTGCATATTATAGGGTATGAAAATTTAGTTCTTTTCCTTTTTTTGTCTCTTTTAGGATAATTGTGATGGGCAAAAAAGGTTCGATCATGTCGAAGGAATCTTCAAGCATTTCATTTATATATAAACATTGTTAATCAATATCAAATTTTGAATCGATGAAAGTATGTCCGTCTGTCCGTTTGTCCGTCCGTATAAAGTCTGTTATGAACATTCTCCTGGTCGCAGAACTGATCTTATCGACTTCTAAATTGGGAAAAACCTTGAAGGTTCTTGTATGCAGGATAGTATTAAGAATAGGCGAAGGACATGCCTACAATATGACGTAAACTGAAGAAACTTCTGCTTTTGAAAAGGAAAAAATAAAATATGGTTTACAGCAAATAACCTATACAAATTTGAATTTATATTCGATGGGCGACGGTATAGTAACTGTACACAAATGGAACGATTTCGCCTTGCCTACCCCATATTATAGTGTATCAAAATTTCATTTTTTTGCCCGAACCTCTATAACGTCTCGAAGCAAGCTTCGGAAACTCTATATAGTAAATACGATTTTGACCAATGTCAAATTCGGATTGCATATAAGCGTGTCCGTCTGTCCATCTGTCCAACTATTTTAGCATATGTGGTAAACATTCTCTCATTCGTAATAGTGAAGAAGGTATGGTCTAGAAATTTGCAAAACAATCTGAAAATGGCTTAAACTGGTTAGAGGGCACACCCGCAATGCAACAAAAACTGAGGACACATAAAATTTCCATGTTTATGGCGTGTTACTCATCAACTGCCATAGATGTGAGATATAAATTTTCACTTTTGTGCTATAAAAGTAGAAAGTACCAGCAACGCCCATCCAATATTACAAAGTACGAAAATTGATTTTTTTTCTTTACCTTTTGTTTTTCAAGTCTTTCTTAGGATAACGGTGATGGGTATAAAAGATTCGATCACAATTGAATATAGTTAGTATTCTTACTTGTTATACTTTAATAAGTGAATTGAAATGTTGCATATTATCCGTAGAAAATGAATGAAATTTATCTATTTCATGTGTTAGATATAGTTTTAGATGATGGATCTGTCGATTCGAATTTAGACAAATATAACTTTCTTGTCCGTTTATTGTTATTTTAATAATAGAAGCAAATTCTTTTCATTTTTCTAAATTATACGTGTATAAGGATTAATGTGTGTGTGTGTGTGTGTGTGTGTGTGTGTGTGTGTATGTTTGTTTCTTTAACATAACATTAAATAGCTATGCAAGATTTCATTGTGTTTTTCTATACGTTTATATATTGTATATAAGTGTGTTTGTATATGTATCAAAACTATATATAAAATATACGTTGTAAATGATTTGGTTCTGGTAAAAGTGGGGGGCGGGATTCTTTTTACATGCGAATATATTTTTCCTTTAAGATGTATATATGTAATGAACTAAATGTTCAGATATTTAAATAAAAAAAAAAAAACTATTTTTACTTTACAGCAGGAATGTGTAACTTTTTGAAAACGGAAAATAAGAATTACGTACGGCTTGAACCGTACAATTTGCCATTCACCATCGTTATGATTATCACGCAAAAATGTACATATAAGCGACATAAGAATAACAGCTCACTATGTTTTATTAAGAGTTCATGAAGCTAAGCCATTTTCGCATAATTTTAGGTAAAGCATATTACAGCGTAACGGTTATGTTACTTTCAAGATTTTCTATATATTTTTTTAGAGGTAAATTAAAGCATTGCCATTCACTGGAACCGTCATCATTAGTGGATAGACAAGCGGTGATAATGATTGAAAGGGCCAAGAGGTGGGCGGCGAGATTTCTTCATATTGTAGTTTTTTTTTTTTTTTTGAAATTTTTTAAATCAGTTTTCGTCAAAGAAGAATTTGTAACTTGTTTCTCGTAAGTGTAATCAGTAGCAATCGATTAGGTTAGATTTAGGTGACCTTTCTTATTGGATTATTATAGCCTTGTGTGTTCGGACGGGTCAGATAGGTTGAACGTGAAACCCTAAAAGCTTAATTCATTAGTGCTGTACGCGATGATGGATATCAAATTTATTATCGGATTACAATTTTTAATGCTTTTCTTTTTATCTTTTATTTTATGATGTTTTTTTTTTTATTTTTTTTTTCAATTTAAAAAAAAAAAAAAAAAAAAACGTTTATTTGGTATGGTTTGTCTTCTTTATTGGCCGGCTAAAAATAATTTTGCACGTAAGTTATGCATTTTTGTTTTTTGTTTTATTTTTACTTTTTTTTTTGTTAATCATTAATTTGTTTTTATTTAAGTTTTCTCAAGGACGCTAATTATTCCGTTCAAAAGGTAATTAATTTAATTTCATCATCATTGTCATCATCATCGTTATCATAGCCATTATCGTTTTTGAAATTATGATAGTTTTCAAATTTTTGTTAATTAATTAATAATTTTTGTTTTTATTTTTTATTTTCTTTTCCTTTTTTTTTTTTTAAGTTTAAATGCAATAAATTGAGTAAATCAAGCGAGTGTCTGTAATTCTTTTTATATAATAGTGTATTCGAGTGAAAAAACTCTCTTCTCTTCGCCTCTAACTTTTCAATGTTTATTTTTGTTTTTCTGTTTTTCTGTTTTTTTTTTGACTAGTGAAACGTTTCAGTTGGATTGGTATTTAGATTTTACGAAATGGCCAAATGTGGACGTTAATTGTTCATGCTTCTTCATCGTAATTTACAAATTTCTTTCTTTCTTTCTTTTTTTTTTTTTTTTTTTTTTTTTTTTTGTTGTTATTTATAAATGATTACAAATTTGTTTTTTTGTTTTTTTTTGTTTTTAGTTTTTTTGGGTTTGTTACAGTGATTTACAGATTTATAGAATAGTGGGGACTTAACGCTACAAAAGTTATTTAGAACAAACTTGTTTGATTTTATATATAAATGGGATTCTCTTGACCGGTTAATAAGCGGAACATTGAAGTCGGCATTGTTTTCATTAAAATCTTAAATGAATAAATGAATTATTTTAGTTTTTTTTAGTAAAAATATTAATAGATAAGAAAAAAAATGCATTGACTCACTTCGCCAACAGATGTTGCCAATAGATTAACAATTTTTTCATGAGGAACAGCTACAACACTTTGATTGTTAATTTCGATAATACGATGACCCACTCTAACGCCACCCCTTTCCGCTATACCACCCCGCAGTAAGCTACAAATCTTTATAAGAAAAAAAAAAAAAAAAAGAAAAATCGCGTATTTAAGTTTTTGTTAATATTAACGGTTTTTTATATTTTAATTTTTGTTTATAAATTAATACATACCACTCCATTTTGTACGCTGAAACCTAATTGATATTTGGTTTCGGGGCGTTTGATTTTCACCTCGACCACTGGGGGACAGGGAACGACAGTAAATTTAACGACAGTCTGATTTTTTGTATTTTTAATGTAATTCTGACAGGTGGAGAGTGGTAAGCCCACTAAACTTAGGCCATTTATGGCTATTAATTGATCGCCAATGTTCAATTGGCCGCATCTTGCTGCTGCACCGGTAGACATTAGATTGGCTATAACTACGGTGGGTAACATTGAACCCCAACCGCTTTCCACTATAACTACGCCGAGAATTTCACCTTTAGCTTTTGGTACAACGACTTCTTTTTGTAATTCCTTTTTGGCAAATATTTCCAATTCATCGCCGAATATCTCTTGACTATTTAATACTTCTTGATAATCCATTTCCTTAACGAAACGATGATCTTCGATGCCGTTTGCTTTCAAGAATTCCATATAGGCTACCTGAAAGGCTTGGCCTATAGATTGCGCTATAAATTGGGCTTCGTCGCTTTCAAATACGTGGCATATCATTTTCGGTGTTCGATTCGGTTTAGGGGCATCATCGATATCTTGCGGTACAAAGCGGCGTCGCGCCATCAGAACAACCAAATCTCCAATATCAGCTATATAAGATATGGTACGTAAAGCATGATCCATCATTATTTCTTTAAGATCGGTATTCAAAACCATAATTTTCTCTGTAGATATAAATAGATCCACTTCAGTGCTAGGTTGTACATCACCATCAGGTGCCTAAAAGTGAGTTGATGCAATGCAAACATTAATTATTGCAATTTCAATGTAGATAAAGTAAAGCATAGTTTTCGGGTGTCAAATTAGAATAGATTTTAAAGCATATGTGACGGACGAAAACACAAAAAAAAAGAAATGAAAAAAACTGTGAAGATGAGATAACATTATTCAACTTACCAAAGCCTGTTTGGTTTTATTTGATTTTTTTTTTATTTTTTTTATTTTTATTTTTATTTTTTTTTTGTTATTGTTATTATATTATTATTATTATTATTATTATTAGTTTTATTTTTTGTTTTCATGTTTTGGGGAAGATAAAGTTGCAATTGTTCCCGATTTTATGCGATTGCAGGAGATTCACATAGAAAAAGTATAAGACACAGATTGAAAATTAATTTCATTTTAATTCCACTTCAGAGTTTTTAACAAAAGTAAAAGTAGTAGATAACTATATAAATGCCAAAAATCCCGAAAGGAAAAAAAAAAAAAAAAAAAAAAACATAACAAAGAAAATATAACTTTATAGGGGTTGTAAGTAATCGCTAAAAGAGGTGATCATCTATGATTTTGAGGAAATTTTTACTTTCTCTTCAAAAAAAAAAAAAAAAAAGAAGGATTTTCTATCGCAAATCATACCAAAGTTTTAAATTGCCGACTTCAAGTGGACTATATAGCTTGTACTCGATATTAGAATGCCAACATTGCGGCATTAATTTCTATAATTAAAGAAAATTACCAAAACAAGATGGATTATCCTGATACGAAACGCCTTTTCACCTTATTAAGCTGACTTGTTAGTTCTTTGAAATTTCTTAATATAACTGGAGATTCAAAAACGAATAGCTTCTTGGTACAATATTTCTGGCAATCATCGCAACGTAAGCTAATTGGCAATTATCATATGATGGGGAACGTTGCAGGAACTAAAAAAGGACTAAGCAAATGGTATCATAAATTCGAATAAAAGGTATCAGAGACGTTGATGAAATAACTGCAAAAAATGTAATGAGTTCAATTTGTATTTGCGCACTGAAGATTGATAATAATAGATTATGTAAAGTGTGAAGTCCGACCATACAGCTCGAAACAATTACGGATCAAGATGGATTAAGGTGCACGAATGGTAGCAAATTGTTTGGTTTGAAGCCACGTTCAAAGCAAATTAGAAATTATTGGGTTAATTTTTTTGTTCTGGAATTTCCGAAATTCTTCAGTGATGATAAAAGGCTATCGATCGGAATGGTATACAATGGGTTCAATAAACTTCATTTGCAAATATAAGGAAAATGAATTTGAGGCCCTACGCCACGAACTTACGTAATCAGCTGATACAAGCATTTCCCAGAATCATATATATATAATATTTACTCATAAATAACAAAATACAGTAATCCTCGCTATAACGTGATGCTCTTATAACGCGTTTTTACATACTACGCAATTTCAATCTCCCGTATAACACGGGCATTCCCCCGTATAACGCGCGGATTTATTTAGATCATATGCATAAGTTTTTTTTTGTTTGAAATGTTCTTAGTTTAGTTTGATTTTAATAAAACGTTATACGAGGTCGTAAAAACGAATTATACAGGAATACACCTATAACGCGGGGATATCTGTACTTAAGAATTTTTATAATAAATTATTGCGAAAGTTCTCTCGTATTTTACCAACTTTAGGTAATTTAAGTTGTTAGGCAAGAAATCAAGAGGATCGAATGCGTCATATGGGATTTTAGTGGTTAGCGAATCTCGGCAAAGTACATTTAAGACATTTCATTTTTGATGAATTCCACAAGGGAAGCATCGCAAAGATTGTTTGTATTGAAAATTTGGGAAGCAAAGCTGTAAAAATTCGGACCTGCCAAGCGCCTTTTTCTAAATTACATTTGAGCGATCGTCGATCTGGATGATAATAACATATTTCGGTCCATGACGCAGCGTAGAGCATTCTGACCACTTAGCAATTGTAAAAAAAGAGTTCGGCATCCAAGCAGCTTCGACTGCTAAGGAGGACATCAAAGAGCTTCAAAGTCAAATGTTTTATTTAAGTAATGATAGAATTTGCCCGCTTATCTAATATTTCGATTCATTCGTTATAAATTGTTATTGAATTTCTTTTAGGCAAAAGTTTGAAATAATTCGAACAGAACGTCATTACGTGAAGTTAATAAAACAAATCCCTCTGTCATAATCGACAGTCAGATAAATCTCGATTATTATATTCGTGTATATTATATATAAAGACATTTGGATAAAAATTTGTTCTAATTAAATTTGTTTTTGTTTAAATGAAAACATAGAAAGACCAAAATAAAAAGGATACTATAACAGTTGGCAGTTAGTTTTCGAATTTGAACCAAAAGAAATTTTGGAAATGCGCACAGGTAACCACCGCACAACACTGTGAATATATAGCTATTACTTTGAAATACATATGAAATGCTTTTCAAATTTGAATTTCTTTAAGACTTTCTTGATCATGATATTAACAAACTTTGCATTTCTTTTTAATTAATTTTCAATAAGAACGTGTTCGCTTCTTTTTGATAGGTTATGCTTGGGTTACTGGTACTTCAAAGCTAACAATGTGATGAATAACAATTGAAAAGAAATCATAACGGTCGGGGAGGTTTAAAAAAAAAAAAACCAAAAAAAAAAAAAAAACGCTTACATATTAATGACATGTAACGTACCTTAATTCTAGACACTGCTTCTTCAGCTTGCATCATTCGGGTAGACTTAGTCGGTTGACCTTCGCATACTAATTGCGTTGAACCCAAGTATTTAGCACGAAAGAGAACGCCCTCGATGAGCACTGCACCACCTATTGAAACCACATCGTCGTGAGGTTATGTTCAAAAAAAAAAAAAAAAAAAAATTGGACAAAACAGATATTTTAATAACAATTCATGCCTTTAAATCATGACGATAAATATGAAAACAACTACAAATAAAAATATTGAAACTAAATTTTTGATTTTTATTTGATATATAAATTTATATAGTAAAAAATTATATATATCTTACAAAGTAGAGATTGTATTGTAATTATTCGTAGACACATCAAGTTCGGATAAGCCGTACACAAAATTATGTATTGTGTGAACGTTTTTTTTTTTTTTTTTTTTTTTTTTTTTTTTTTTTTTTTTTTTTTTATTATTTTTTTTTTGTTATTTTTTTTATTATTATTATTAATTTTTTTGTTTTTTGTTTTTTTTTTTTTTTTGATTAAACGAAATGTGGAACGCATGCAAAATAAAATATAAAAAAAAAATTAAATACATTAATTAGCAATAATATTCAACACTGTAAGAAAACAAGAAATATAGCAAACTTGTAAACTGGATGAGCCATTCCAGCGTGGAGGGTTCGACCTAGCTTGGTCTAAAAATATAAATTTTCATTACAATGCACTTGCATTAAATTTATGAAAGAATTGTTAAAGTTTTCTAATCAATTCAATTCATGACATTATTTGATGATAAAACAGACAAATTAGATTTAGTGTACGATCGTAAAGTCGTACTTGTCAATGTATAGATTGTAGAATATCAAAATGGAGGAAAATGAAGGACGCGAATAAAAATTTTTATTATTTCGTTCGATTATTTGTATACATCTAAGCGTAAATTGATTGATATAATTATCCTTATGTCCGCCGTATTGTCATCATACGAACAAAATCGCAAATACAATAAGTAACAAATAAGACCAATATAGCCAGGCAAGGCCGACCATTAGATATCATACACCTGTTCGCTTAGTACAATTATCCACACCACACCACACCACACCAACAATTACATATTACATTATTATGCAAAGACATAATTTGCCTCAAAGGCTGCATGTTGGTGCATGTCCAAATTATTACATTAGCGTGATCCAAGTTTAGCAAATTGTATTCATTTCCTAAAAATTCTATTATATTTCAGTTTCTATCATAAAAAACTAGAAATTAAACTTTCTTCTCATTGCAACCCTTTAAAATATTAGGGTTTAAAAAGTAGACCTACGCGATCCGACTTCCCTACCTTTGTTTATTTATTTATTTTTTTTTTTGCTCCTAACCAGTTAGTTAAATTGAGGGAATATCATAAAAAATGGTATTAAACATTTTATTCAGTTTATTGCCTCTCACTAACCATTAATTCTTTTATCTCGTACTTGGAATGTTACTTACGCGCAGAATGCGTACTTGATCTTTTGAGTATATCTACTTAAAATGCTCAATTATTGTTACTCAGAAGGAAGTAGTGTCTCATGAAAATAGCTGAGAGGATAGCAGATGCCAGTTTAATGCTTCTAATGCTTCATGTTTTGCTACACGAGATCGAACCTCAATCATGCTGACAATGCCCGATATTATGACTTTTGGCATATTACAACCGTTTTCCATTTCAAGTTCATTGGTTTTTTTTTTTTTTTTTCACATAGACTACGACATAATCAAAACTTTTAAAAACCGCGTATTTCGCATATTCTGAGATAACCTACGCTATTGTAGTGTATTAAAATGAAGAAGTCACGGTTTTCGTTAGCACATTATAGCACCTATGATAAGACCTCTAGCGAAAAACTATGAAAACTCATTCAATTAGAGGCTTTCCTTTTTAAAGTTATCTATTGTCAGGTAAGATCAGTTTTTCTAACAAATATCTTTTCTTCAAAAGATCTCCGTCTTTTAATCATAACTTCTAACTGCTTGTCTATGAGGCGTAATTAGTTTTTACTTATATCGCTAGGTATGTTTATAAATCAGAAAAACATTAATCGCCGGATTAGCGAAATAACCCTGGAATGGCTGGTTGAAGAATTTGCTCCGGTCATCGATCTTCATATTTACACGCTTGCTATGCGCTACAACATAATAATATAATTGTTAACGAAAATCCATTTTACTAAAATTGGTTCTACGACGATTAATGACACTACGTATTCGGTCACGAAGATAAACCCAATAATTTACCTTCTTTATTCTTACTCTTTTTAACTTTTTTCTCGCCCGTAGTAACGTTAACGTTATTAACGGACGCAACACTATCGTTATTACTGGAGATAGCATTGCAAGCATTGCCGGTGCTATTATTGCCAGCACTAATGTTTGATGAACTATTGTTGCCGTTATTCGGTCCAGGACCAGAGCTGTCACAGTCCTTTTTCAAGCAATCAGAATTATCGGAATCGCCAGCAGCCGAACCCATCGTAACTACGCAGTCCTGTATGTCAATCGATTTAATGGGTGATTTATCGCTGTGTTCGGGCGAGGATATGGAACCACCAATATCAAGCAGTTTGTTGGATGAGTTTTTCGGTGGTATTGGCGGTGGGATTTCCGGAGTGGATGAAAGCAACGCATTATAACCGTTACGAGTTTTAGTGCTCGGCACTTGTTTCGGCGAAATTTTTGATAGCAATGATCGTGCAGGTTTTCTATCTACCCACGATTTGTTTTCTTCGTAATAGCTTTGATCGTCAAGGCGTTGGTGACCCAATAAACGATCTGTTTCCAGATCGGTGTCGACCTCATCCTCGTCAGTACTTAAATTTTTGGAATGATTTTCCGATGAGGATTCCAGTAGGGTCTTGCAAGTGTTAACTTCCAAATGACGCGACAACCATACGGGTGAATTAAGAAGGGGTGATGGCGAACGTTGAATATTACGCTCTGGTATAGGTGGTGGAGGTGGTGGTGGCTGTGGTGGTGGTTGTGGTGGTTGTGCAGAATTATTGCGTTTTTGACTTGATTGAGTAGGTGATGCATTCGCTTGCATGGCATTGTTATGAGTTGAAAGAGTAATTGAATTACTTTTGCTTGGGGAATTGCTATGGTTTATGTTGTTGCGTATTTCTCCTCTATAAGATGATGACTGCAAAGTTTCCGTGTCCGTGCTCATAACATTTGGTTTGCGATGTGGTGCTGGCGCTGGAGGCGGCGGAGTCATTTGAACCATATCATTACGTTGGAATACACCTAAATAAAAATAATAACAATTAGATCGATCCGTTCGTAAATCGCTTATGGAGGAACCTACTTATTGAGTATAAGGAATCCAAATCTGGATCGATATTTTTAAACACTTGATTTGTACTCATTCTGCTGGGACTCTGTGCGATAAATTCACGTTCCCTGCTCTCGCGTAATTCACGACTTTCCTGTTTACCTCGAGATGAATCCCTTGCCGTATCTTCTAGAACAATCGGACTATGGTTTCTATGGACTATATTTGGTGATAATGCGGTATGCTTTTCACCACCACCACCACCACCACCACCACCACCGCCACCACCACCGCCACCATCTGTTGTAGAAGTGGTTATATTATTCATACTGTTTATACTGTTATTAGTGGAGGCACGTTTCATGTCCATCAGAATTGAAATTCCACCGTTAACCGGTGTATGTTGTATAACAGAATTTTGTTGGCTAAGTAAGTGATTATTTTGATTATTGTTGTTATTCTCAGTATCAGAAGTATGGCCAGAGGAAAGGCCGTCCTCTAAAACCGGCATACTGGACGCGTAATATTTTGTGTAATTAGAACACGACGTTGAAACACCATTTAGTTCACCTGAGAGACCTAAATAGAGAAAAGTACAAAATTAAATGAAAATCATTTGGAAAAAAAAAACAACTTTTTTTTTATTCATTTCGAAAATCAAATGTCATGGCACTTAATTGATTATGTCATGAGCAGCAGCCAAGATGTTAGTATGATTTTGGTTATTAGCGTTCGTTTAAATTGAAAGTAACTTCGAAATGATTTTCCGTTACCTCTACGCAATTAATCAAAATTATACCCTAATCGTCCGTGATTGACAGACAAACAAACAAGCAAACGAACAAACAAACAAACAAATAGACATGTAGACCCAACAAACAAGCTGATAAGCAGACAGTAATTAAGCAAATTATTAGATTGACAGTGAACATGTGATCAATGTAAATGAGTGGAAACATATTGCACATACATACATACATACATACATACACACACACACACACACACACATATATATATATATATATATATATATATATATATATATATATATATCTATATATCA